CCCCCCCCCCGCAGGTGAGCGGCGAGTACCTCCCGCGTCTACGCGCCGCCATCGATGCGCGGCCGCCACAAAGGGAAGGGCGAGGCAGCCAGGAAGCCGAGGAGGGGAGGGAAGAGGGGCGACGGAGTGGAGCGGGCGGCATCGATAGCCCGGCCCCGGCGCTTGAATTTGTCATCCTATCAATGGGTTGCTGGTGGCGGGGGGGAGGGGGCACCATCAGTCTATTCGGGGAGCAGTGCAGTTCAGTACAGTACCGGCGGCGCGCCCGGCCCCGGCGAGTCGACGTGCCCCCCTCGCGAATGGAGAGGGGAGGGGGGCGGCATTGGGGTAGGTCGCCACCGCGCTTGCCAAATCGTGCCGCGGACTCCGCGAGCCTCCCTCCCTACCCGCGCTACCCGGTGGCACTCACCGCGACAGGCGCGCCGGCACCAGGCGCCGAGCCCGAGAGTTTGGAGGGGTTCGACTTCGACTGCAGCGCCGACACAGTTGAGACAAGTTTCCTGTAATGCCGACTGGGCTATTGCGGTGAAAATAAATGCGTAGTTCTGTTCAGCGTTACCGTCGCTGGGACTAGACTACTGACTACTACATACTGGCCGGGGAACGTGCAGCGTCGCCAAGAGGCTCAGGGAGCTGGGGCGAGCTGGGGTGGATGACCAACACTGCCCGTCCCTGTCGCACTTGGCCGGGCTCCGCGGGCCTCTCCCTCCCTCTCTCTTCCCCTTGCACGTCACGAACGCGGCTCGCCGCCGCCGCCGGTGAATCTCCGCGAGGTGCTCGAGGCACGCGAGCAGCAGCAGCACGGTCGAGTGCGCCCACACCCCTTTTGCCGACAGTGTACCTGCGCGAGGCTGCCAGCCCCGCCGGCCCCGCCCGCCGCCGGTTGAGGTAGGTCAGGAGTAGGCAGGGTCCTTGCGAAACTCGCTGCAGCAAGAGGAGAGAGAGAGAAAGAGGAGCGGCGTGCCTAGGCAGGCGCGGGGCGGGGGCAGTGCACCGGCAAGACATTCTGCGAATAAGCATTCTGCGAATAACACAACTCCACTCGAGGGGCAATAACACGACGGACAAGGAGGCAGCACAGGGGCCGCCCCACCGCGGCCGAGGAGGAGAAGGAGGAGGAGGACGCCGAGGAGAAGCGTGCGCACGGGGGCGAGCTGACCAACGCCGTAACCACGGCCATTCGGGCCTCCAGCAGTTTCAAATCACCGGGTCGGCGCAAAACAGATGCACGAGTTTGCGAGGTCAGCACGGGTCAACGACCGAGAGGGTACGTTTACTACTCCGGTGATCAACGATACACGGCACGATAGCGTTGCGGCCCGCTCCTTTCGACGACAACCTCCTCCTGCCGCTCCGCTCCTCGCCGTCGTCATCAACTTCGTCCTTTTAGCCGTGCCGCGCGTATGCAGCGCGTCGACACGGCGTCCCCGACGACGCCGATAAGGCAGTCCTCGCATCCCTGCCAGCCCCGCCAGCCCCGCCTCGCCAGGGCCGGTTTGTCCAGCCAGTCCTGCGCGGCCGCGCCCGGCCCCGTGCACTTTATGCACGACGCGGCATCGCGTCACCACCGTGGGATCGTACAGCGTGCAGCACAGCAGCGGACAGCGCAGCAAGCGAGCACGGCCGTGCATTTATTATGTAACGATAGAGCGTCGCCGAGCCGCAGGGCCGCGTGGCAACGCCCGGGGCGCAGCAGGGCAGAGCGCTGTAGGGCAGGGTGCGTCAGGGCAGGGCGGCAGGGCGCAGCAAGACAGGGCGCAGCAAGACAGGGCAGTGCATCAGGGCAGGGCACAGCCACAGCAAGGCGGTGCACGGCAGGGCACGGCAAGGCGCAGGTGCCCCAGCGACAGGTGGGGCCCGGCGGCCAGGTTCACATCCCCGCCCGGCCCGCCCAGGCGAGGCAATGAAAGGGCTCGCTTTAATTACCCCTCGGCCCCCTAAACAGAGCGGCGGCAGAAGGAGCGAAGGTCCTCCTCCTCCTCACGTGCCGCGATGGCATGACCAGCGCGGCGGCTGATCCGCCCCGCGCGCGCGATGTTCAAATTGGACAATTTGCCGTGTTGTTCGGTTTCGAACCGAACAACACGGAATTAATCATTACTCGCACATCTGTCGGGGCCTTGCCGGCGCAGCGAGGCCATTGAAGCGAACGAGGGGGAGAGGCGCCGGCGGGCGGGCGGGCCCACAGGGCTGGCCGCACGCGAGGAAGGGCCCGCGGCGGGCATGGGCTAGCCTGGGCTCGCAATGGAACAGGAACACCCCCGAGAGAGAGAGAGAAAGAGGGGAACACGAGATCGGTCACACATATGGATGGTTATGAGGGACTGGTCGTCTGAACGGGGGACAGACAGACGGACGGGCGGACGGACGGACACGCGGACGAAGGGGAGTGGGATTGAAAAGTGTGGCAGGAGGCCGATACCGGGCCGGGCCAGGGTGACGTGGTGGTGGGTGGAGCGAAGGCTGCGCTAAGCCTATATGTGTGAGGGCGAGGGGCGAGGAAGAGGAGGAGAGGGGGATGCGATAGAAGAGGGAGGGAGGGGTGGGGGCGGCGGGGGGTAACAGCTGGCGACGAAGCACCGTCATCATCAAACTGGCATCCCGTCGGCCAAGCGGAGCCAAGCGGAGCGGCGGCGGGGCGGGCAACCCAACCCGGGCCGGGCCGCGTACAGTCGCGCGCAGGAGTGCAGGACATCCGCCGCGGCGGATCGGGTCGCGTCCCCAGGGTCCTCGCGGTCCACTGGCGGCGCACACTACGTACTACACGCCCCGGCTCGCGCGCAGCCATGCGCGGCGGCTCAGAGGAGGAGATGCTCATCATCTTGTGCAGCGCCATCACCACCCCACCACTCTCGTCCTCTCCCATCCTTTTGTCGCGCCTGCTTGGCGTTTCTCTTTCAGTCTCGATAAGGTCCGTCCGTCCGCCCACACCCAATCCCATGTCAGCCGGTCGCGCGGCGCCTTTACCTCTGCAACACGAACAACGTCAGTCGACCGCGGCGCGCTGACCGAGCGGACAGGAAATGCGCCCGATGGACTGGAGCACGAGCATGACTGCGGGGTAAACGGCTGGAAGATGACTCGGCGCGGGCACGCGAGCAGCGATGTCGCCGCGAGCATGGACTTGAGGCAGTTGTGGGGCAGTCGCCAGTCCGCCGCGCCCTGCCGTCGTCCCCGTGCGAGGTCGGGTAGGCAACCCGCCCGCACCCCTGCGTTGCGGGACAGTCCGGCCGCCCGGCGCGGGCCGCACCCACAGCATGCGGTGGTGCACTATTACACTGTGACGGCTTGCGGCCGCGAGGTGACGGGTCGGTGACGGGACGGTGACGGGTCCTCCCGGCCGTCACGATGCGCAGCAAGAGAGGGCCTTACCGCCGCTCCGAGCTGAGGTGCCACATCACATCACGGTGCGCGGCGGGTGGCGGGGCGGGGCGGCCGTAAACGGACGAACAACGGGTAGTAAAGGGCGCCGCGGCGGTGACGCTGGAGTTGCATCACGCCCGGCGGGATGCGTGCGTGCGTTGGGCCCCTCAGCACCACCACAGCAGCATCGCCACAGCACCGCGCCGAAGGGCTCATTTATCAGTTTTAGGAGGCGATTCTGACCACTAAGAAGAGGAAGATGTGGAAAACTTTCATGACGGAACTGCCGCACAGGGCTTCTTCTATTCATCTACAGGAGGATCTCGCCTGACGGATTGAATTGTCCTCATTTGTTTAGGTTCTTTCTTCTCAAATTGAGGAGCTTCTGGAAGTTCAATACAGTAAGCTCTTTCCTGAAAAGCCACCAAAAGTCACCTTGTGTTTCCCGTCGCACGGTCATCTTTGCCGGTACACACGTTCCGTACGATCGATCGATTTGGATAATGAAACTCTATCGAAACTTGAACGTACTGCAGGGTCGACCGGGGCGGCGGCAGTGCTCCGTTCCGATTGGTGTGACGCGGGCGGCGGGGCGTGGCGCGAGATTTAAAAGTCTCGGCGGCGTGTTTACGTGCACAGGGCGGCAACGCCGCTCCGCTCCGCTCTAGCCAGCGGCAGCCAGGGGGCCAGCCAGAGCAGCTCCTCGCCCGGCCCGCCCGGCCCGCGTGCGGCAAGGGCTCCCCTCCCCGCCGCCCAGGATCGTTGAACCGGGCGGGAGGGGGAGGGGACCGGAGGGGAAGGGGTGGTCAAACCGGTAGG